GAGACGTTCATCGAGAAGTTCTCGCTGTTCCTTACGGTACTCGGCGTATGCTGCAAAGTGACGAATCTAACGGTGCGTCGAAACGAGATCATCGATCTCACTGATATGCTACTGAAGGATATCTGCGTACCCCGGAACGATCACGAAATGGATATCCAGCAACGCTTCGATCGTAGTGCGAAGTACGTATTGTGAAATAAAACTCTGTAAGATATAACAATAAATTCTACTTTTTTTTATCTTTTTTTTTAACTTTTTCTTTTTTTATGCGAGAATTCAAGAAGTTAAAAAATCCAACAATTGGAGATTCAAAAAATTAGTAGACTAAACATTTACAGAAATATTTGTACCACAATATAATTTATAAGTGTTTAGAAAAATTATATAAAATGAATTTACGCTAGAAAAATATATTAACATTTTTTATTCAAAATAGGATCCTTTACACTCAATAGACTATTTAACGAGCCAGAAATTTAAGTCGTCGTGATCGATCAGCTGAAGATGATTACAAAAGTACTTGATAACGATGCAAAGATTGAAAAACGAAAGCGAGCGATGTATTGATTGCAGAATATCCTATTTAGGATAAAAAATGTTTAAAATATTTTTCAGATGCGTTCTTTATTCTATATGATTATAATAAATAAATTGATTACATGATTTTTTTTCTTAAAATTTATGAATTACACTCGCACCACTCATATTTCTCCTAATATTTTTGCGATATTTCTCCAACGTTTTTCCAGGATAATCACCATATGTGTCGAGATACTAAACGAGTCGGTTGCCTTCTTTGCCACGGTCGCGCAATTCCGGTTCTTTGTCACCACCCGGACCTTACTGTCCAACTGGGTGCCCTACGACATCTCGTCGACGACCGCTTTCTGGGCGACCATGCTGCACCAAACGATCGGACTGTTGGTCTGCGCGAACGCCAGCGTTGCCCACGAGACTCTCATCTCCGGTTTTATGATCCAGACGTGCGCCCAATTGGACATACTCTGCCATCGCGCTCGCACGTTGCCCAATTCGCTGCGAGAGGCCCGGAAATGCAGCACCTCGAAAGAAGACTTCAAGGCGCGAGGACGGCGACTCGTACGCGAGCTCATCCATCATCATTGCTACATTTATAGGTACAAGTGAAGATAAAAGTTTATTTACGCACGAAGAAAAAAAATAAAAAAATATATACATATATATATTGAAAAGATAATCGTAATGGCGCAGATTTGCGGAGCGCATCAATACGGTGTTCACGCTAATGATTTTCGTGCAATTCACCACAAGCTCGACGGTGCTCTGTCTCAGTATGTACAAAATGTTGATGAAGAACTTACTGAGTCTCGAGTTTGCGTGGAGCTTTTCGTACTTCGGTTGCATGCTTATGCAGATTTATTTGTACTGCTGGTTCGGCAACGAGGTGACACTGAAGGTCGGTTCTCTAAAAATTCTTGAATTTTTGAAACTCGTTACACCGTGGGTAGGGTGTAACGGGGGACATTCGTGGTGAAAGATTGTTGAAATGATGACGATTCACTCGATGATACGGTCACTCTCACAACTCTATTCCGATTCTTATACACTCAACTTATACCTTATCACTCGCGTTACACTTATGCTACGCGCACCGACAGCATGACGTTTAGCAATTGAAAATGGAACTCCGCAGTGGTCCGCTGGACGGCGGGTTTTATCCCGTTTCAAGTGGACCACTGCTCTGCTCAGCAGTTGCAATTATTGTTTAATTGCAACGGCTGCAAATTTTTGGAGAACGCACGCATTGGGACTGCCGAAGTCCTGCGTTGGCAGTCCTCAATTATTTTGAGTCGCTGTTGTAATATTAGACTACAACAGCGACCTGCTAATTATCGCTAAGTGTTACATGTAAGTGGGACTTACAACAAACTGTTATCTTCATCTTAGGAATATTTGAACTTACTTGAAGACGGTTTAGTGAACTTTCTTTTTAATCGGTTCATTCTCAAACACGCAGAGCACCGAAATCGGAAGCGCCTTTTACGAGATGGACTGGCCGATGCTTCCTACTGATTTAATGAAAACCCTTCTGATGATAATCACGCGAGCTAAAAGACCGATCACGATGACTAGCGGATACATAATTACCTTGTCCAACGAATCGTTTATGAAGGTGAACGGGGATAATATCGCAGTGTGAAAAAATATGTTTAATAAATCTAACAAAATTATATTTTGATTTGTACGTGCCGTACAAAAAAATTTTAATTTTTATTCTTTCAGATTATCAAAATTTCTTACTCGGCATTCAACATCCTAAAAGGGTCGTAGTACGAAATCGTCTTTTTCGGTCATGTGAAGGAAAACTTGGTAACCAACTATTTTTTACGTAAATAATACTACTCAAAAGTATCTAAATATGATTAAATATTTTTTTAAATATTCTTATACTTAAGATAAATTTTGCATAACCCGAGGACGGAAGATGTCCCTAAAAACAATCTTGCACTCATCTTTTCTTCGCCAGATTAAATTCAACGTGGCAGCAGTAGTTCGCAGGAAGTTTGAAGTAATCAGGATGGCTCTCGTCTTCGGAAATAGCAAGGAACACGACATGAATAAACTTCTGCTGGCATGATGTGATCTAGCCTTCGGCGATATAGTTAATCAACCTGCACTTAGTCTTTGGTTCTCTGAAAATAGAACGTATTACGACATTCTTGATAACATTCTATTATATTTTACGTTCTTTCGTCCTACGATCTACATATATATTGCTGCATTGATAGTTTAAAGTGATGAAAGACGCAAATAAAATAAACTAGTATTTTTAAGATAATGAACGAAAGTAGACCTTAAGACTAACATATTTTTGAGAAAAGACACGTTTGTCGACACATTGCTTATATGGAAAAATGTCATAACTTTATTGAGAGATTAAACTTACACAATTCTATGCTAGTGTTGCAGTGTTAAAATTTTAAAATTTTGATTTTTACTCAACATGATAATATTAACGAACACATTATAATTAAATATATGACATGGAAAGAAAGTGAAGTTCTCTAATATTCATTAATCATTCTAACATTCCAGATAGCAAAGTAAATTGCCATTATTTGACGTCAAAATGACGACAAATAATATTAGCTTGCTGTATGAAACCTAATTAAAATGTTGTTTCAATTCAAGAAGAATTTCAAAAATGTTCTGCTGAAAAGTTGCTAATTTCGAGATGTGTCACTTTTCTATCAACGCAGCGATATTCCATATACCTTATTTCATAATTTTCTTATTTATTTATACATATATAAATGTTAAAGGACAGTATGTAGTGAGACTGTAATGTATAGCATTCTTTTCTTCACTTACACGCAAAGTTCGAGCCGTATACCTTGACGAAAATTTTCCGCCTGATGGATGTACTTGATTTTGTTTATTCATATAGCCCATTTCGGGTAAACTGTTTCCACCTAGAATTTTACGTTCTTTTTACGAACATTTTTGGAATTTGACATTATGCAATAATAGATCATATTTTAAAATGATTACACCCTAGATAGACAAAGTGGATCCTCTTCGTCAAATTGCGGTGAAACGCCAATCTATTAATGAAAGAGAAAATTCTGGATTTAAATTTAACATTTCCACTTTTTGTCCTATGGTGAGAAAAATTATAAATATTATAACTGTAAGTCTACTAACATCATCCAACGCATAACGTAACAGATTGGGATTCTTGACGAGAATTTCATTCACTAACTCCTGAGGATAATTCGGGACATCCTCGCAGAAGGTTTGATTCATGTCGCAACGTATCAATTCTGCGTTGTCGCTATTGTTGCCATTTCTCTTTTGCCGTTTGTTCCAGAAACTATCCTTGTCTGCAAGGTATAAACTGTTATCTAAACATATATTTCTCAAAAATTAGTATATTTAGTATATTTCACTAGTATCTATTACTAAAAATCGTCGTATTGAGAAAAATTCTCATACTATATATCTCTTTAAATTTTTTGTATTTTAAATTTATGAAGTTTTTAAAAAGAACCTTGAACTTCTTCAAATTTTATAAATTTTTTTTCAAAAATTGTAGAATGAGAAACCATATAATATTTCAGAATTTTTACATATACCATATATAAAATTCTGGAAAAGACGATTGATCTCAGTTTTTATGAAAAGTACGTGTTTCCCAATTAGTATAAAATGTCGAAGATACCGCGTCTTTCTTATACGCTCTGATAAAAATTTTTCTTAAAATTCTTCAAGTAATTTTTCAAAATTACTATATAAATATATTTAGTATTTTCCACATATTCTATATAATTTCACAACTTTTTTATAGAATTTCTCAAATGCAATAAAAGGAAAGGATACCGCAAGATTTCTAAAAGAAAAAAATAAATTCTCTTACTAGTATGAAAGAAAAAAAACTAGAGAGAGAGTGTATCGGCCTCTGCGACGCGCACACTTTATCATGCTACATTCGTTATATATTAATGGACAATCGAATGCAATTCTTACTTCTTCATAAAAACCGTCGCTATATTATTATTCCGCATATCCCAGATGTCTTCTGCCTTTCGTCGCATGCAATAATAATGTCACCATTAATTCAAGGTCCAATCGGCAGTTGTCACATCATCACGATTCGCGATACATTCTTGTAATTTAAATTTAAATTTATTAAAAATGCAAAGCTGACTAGATAACGGAAAGTTCGAGAAGTAATTAAAGTACATAGATTAAAGAAATATTATACGCCAGTGTCCAAGACTCGCGGGTATCGATCGATCGCGACGATGATACAGGGGGGTAGCGAACGCAGCAAATTCATGTTAACGTTCATTTTTAAATAAGACGGAATAAGGTGGAACTGTGGCATATACCTCCAATAGCATACAGATAGTCTTTGTAGAATTGCATGTAATGTTTCATGAAACGATTAGCAAAACTTATTTATGCATGAATTATCTATTGCGGAAGTCAAAGTAAATTTCTAAGTAAGAGGAAATAAAGAAAAGCGATACGCGGTGTATAAAACGCCGATGCGGGAAAATGGATATAATAGCATCCTGAGAACGTTGAATTGTCTTTTGTAAGAAATATTTTTATCGAGACTTTACCTAAGATCCTCGCGCGAAACCCTTCCCTTTGGAACTTTTAACCGAGAACGATGCACACACTTCCCTTATCGTTCGCGCTGTTGACGTACACCGGATACTGGCGACCCGTTCACTTGACATCCATCAAATACTGGGCGTACATCGTTTATTCTATCGCGATGATTTTTCTACTTTA